TAATAACTATATTTTTCAGATTACGACGTTGACTGACAACGTCTGGTTGGTGGTGATCGATGACGGTTGGTGAATGTCGACGACGATCAGTTATGGTCTTCGGCAGTCGACAGTGGTCGACGAAGGAAGTCGACGTTGTTCGACGACGATCGACGGTGATGCTGAACTACAGCTTTTCCACAAGGTCTCAGACTCTCTGTCCAGACTTCAGCCCCCTCACACATGAGAGTGATGTGCAAGTGATATTCTCTGTAAATAAAATAGGAATCTGGATCACTCCATCGGAAGACCCAAAGCAATCCCTTTGATCATACGACGTTTACTGGACATTTGAGTGTCTTAATGGTGTCAGAATTGAGTGATATTGGACTTGTTGGATTCGTCTTGTCGAACCGCTCGATTCGAGTATAAGCTTGTCATATTCGACAACCCTTTGATCTTTTAAATATGTCCGGAAATCATTTAAGTGTAGTTCAATAACTTGATTTGGGCTTGATTTTACTCAGATTGGACTAGTTTTCATATCATTAGGTCCGTCTCATCAAGCCGGTCAGTTTGACTATAAGTTTGCTGAAATCATAACTTTGGATGACTTTTTATCAAAATTTGAATGTTTCATGCTTAAAATATCATCTCGATATTTGTGTCATCCCTCGAGATTCATGTCGGATGATGAAAATTTGTTGGTGGCGTATCTATATTCATCACAAAATAATTTTAATAATAGTTACCTTCTATCCTCAATATCCTCAACTAATGGTTTGAAAGACGGTGATACGTTGATTGTTGCATTCCAACTTCATCATTTTAAAAATAAAGTGACATTTTTCATACTTTCAATTTTGTTCCCAATTATGATGCTATAAAATTAATATATTATTTGCCGAAATTAATTACTTTCCTATAGAAAAGAAAAACGTTTCCCAAAGAAAGGTGGGTGGGGGGGGGGGGGGCGCTGCCATTTTATTTTCATTATCTAAAATGATTTTTAATATTATATATTTCTCTTTTTTTTAATATTGTGGCATAGCTTTCTCAACACTATTATTGTAAATATTTGTTTTTCAAGATAAGAAATTTATTTGAAAAAAAAAAAAAAAAAAAAAAAAAAAAAAAAAAACATTAGGCCCGGTGGTGTGCCCAATGTGGGACATATGAGGATCTATAAATAGGGAAGAAGTCAATGAACCCTATGGTGGTGTTCGGTAGGATGTTTTAAGGTGGATTTGCGTGTGATTTAATGTAAATCTATGAAATGCAATTTCAAGTCCTCTGAATCCCTCCGTCGAACTAAATCCAAACATCGCTCTAGCATAACAAAAAATATGGGAGTTATTAAATCTGATCGGACGATAGATTTACGGAGATCACATGGTAAAGTATTAAATCCTTAAATAAAATGCCAAACATTCCATACAACTCTTTTTATGGATTTAAATGAAATCATACGAACCATTATTTCATATTTAACATCACTGGAATTTATCGGCTTTAGTGAATCCTACTTAACTTAAATACTAAGTGCAGCCAAACGCCGCATAACTATTCTATAACATGGACTTCTGATTGTTGCAAGTCTCTGCTAGAGATGCCATGTCAAGGAGCTTTTTTGGTGAGAACATGGCGCAGTCGTATTCCCTGGCCCATTCTGAATAGTTATTATTGCTGACGAGACATCCAAGACTAGTTTGACATCTATGGTAGTAGTTAAGGTCTGGATGTCAATATGCATGTGCGCTTGGTTCACCCTGTTGGAGGAATTTCACGATGAACTCTTTGAGAATTTATGCGGGTGAGGGTTGAAATCACCAACATCAACAGCAGATTGGATGACCTCACGCGACATTTGCATTTTTAGTTCACTGGAGCGTATCGAGGTTTAGAAGGATATGGCTAGTGAACATCTATGAGAGATGAGAGAAAGTGCTCTAATATCTTTTTCAAGGCTTTGGTTACAGAGGAACAAGCGGAAACACTAACGGTGACGTGGTCAGGGGCAGATGGCTGCCTAATTCTTAGGATCACACGATCGCAATTTTTCCTTCATATATTTTATACTTGTATTTTCCTTTTAAAATATGTGGAACATGTCACGTGTTACATGTATTAGAGACATCTACAACTCATACCATTTGAACTCAATGAAACTGATGCATATTTGTCACATATTTATTTTATGCTCTCCATGTTATACGTGATCAACATCGTTTTTCCCACTTTGGAAGCTCTTAGGCTCCCTAGAAAGCCTCAATGTTAGACTGAAAACTTGTATGTAACTCATACGAGTCCCGAGATGCAACATGTGAAAAGCAAATAACAGTGACTCGAAGCATTGAGGCGCTATCAGCTGCTCGTCAATTTCTGAGGGACTAAGTGTTGACATTTTATAAACATCACAACACCCCACTGTAACGCTTCGATGCAATGTCAAGGCACCATGACTCTCTGATAATAGTGTTGTGGTGCCCGTGGCCCGGAAACTGAAGATTGTCATGCCTTCTTGCTGACTGGATATTCATTGTGTCAGCAACGCCGTATCGTCTCACCAACTTAGTTGCTATATAATGTGCATCATGTGGCTACCTTAGGGTTTGCCTTCTTGAAGTTAAAAGTAGGTAGTTTGCTCCCAAGCTTATTTTTGAGATATATGAGTCGTTGCCTCTTTTCATTGGATTTTGGTGTGTGCGAGCTTTCCTGCACATCTCCTTCTCAAGTCCTTCCAATTTTGGCCAAGTTCTTTAGCCGACGATGGTTCTTCTTTCGCTAAAAAATGTAGAGTCATTCCACGATCTTCCGAGCAAAGGGATTTCATCAAACTTTTTCGTAGGTGATCTTTTTTTCCATTCCAAGAAAACTTTGTGTTGGATGAACTAAACTACGCTGCTGTTAGATACCTAGATTAGGTTCTTTGCTTTTCTTTACATTAACCATATTTTTTGTAAGTGCCATGGTGTGCATAGGGCCTTAATTTTCCCGAGCGTCACGATGTCGTCCTTCAGAGATTTCAAGACAATTTTTCCCTTTCTTGGGTGTGAAATGTGCTCAGTGTCATTTCTCGGTGCTTGACCAATAATTCATCTTGTTGGTAGTTGCATTTATTGCTTCCACTATGGCACGAGACCTTCTAGTCCAATTGCGCATGACACTTGTTGCCACCTTTTCAACGATACAATGCCAGATCCATGGGACTAGGACCCAATGCATTTTAGCTTCGCGACCCCGAGTGGATTTTGCTTCCACTCGAGGTAAACTCATCTTATTTGTCTTGGTGTCACGACATGTGACCAAACATTAGTCTTGTTTTTTTGGTCCCATGTCGTGTCTAGTTAATGGGAAGACAACACTGGGATTTCCTCCTTAGTCAGAATGTTGGCTTTTTGCACTTCAAAGTTGAGAATTACCCATACATATGTCCTTACTTTGCCGCGTCATGCAGTCAATATCACGTGATGCTTATTATAGCTAATCCGTCGATTAGTCGAAACCCATTCTTACTAGACTTATCATATTTTGATTGCTGGAAGTTGGGAAATGCAATAATAACCCTTCTGGTTATTAGTACACCATCCCGTATGAGCGGTGAACTAATTTGGCTTGTTTGGTCGTGTATTTCGATAGAATCTGATTATCTCGGGCAAGTGGTCTTCTATCTTCATAAATGATTGACCGAGGAACTCTTACCCCAAAACGCTGTCACACAAATCTACATGGGCGGCGATTCTGCTTATCCCGACTAATCAGTTGAATTTATGCTTGTTATGTTGCTAATTAATGTGATTCTACAAAAACGCGTTCTCTTATCCTCACTTTTTACAAATTTTACGAAAAACATTGAAATCTTGCCACTAATTAGTTTTATATTGATGAAGGCTCCTAATTTTAAAAAAAGTAATCAAATTTAATTATTTAGTAATATAGGCCAGCATTATCAAGTTATGAATTTGTACTGTAAATGTATCTCTAGTATTTGAACTGTTCCCGCCATATCCGAATGCTGGGAATCTCCGAAACACAGTCTGACCGCTTTCTGACCGTCAGATTTAATACGAAGCCGAGAAATAGAAAAATCCACGTGTCCCATTCGTATCTGACGTGGCAATACTCTTTTTTATTTTTCCTTTCCCGATAAAATCGCAAGCTTCGCCATTCTTCCCGACTTTCTTGCACAGCGGATCGGTGGTACGTCCCGTCTCCCGCGCACACTCCAAGAGCAAGAAGACGATGCAGGAAAAATAATTGCCACTCTCTCTCTACACTGCCTCCCTTTCTCTCTCCATGACTTCTGTTTCGCCGTTCCTTAAATGCTAGGTTTGTTGAAGGAAGTTGTGGAGGGATTGATTTTTGGTCTGGATGGTATTAGGGGATGGAGTGAAATCCGAATATATCGAGCTAGGTTTCTTGATGGGGGATATGAGCGTAGAACTGGTTGAGGATTTTCCGTATGAAGTCTGAGGATG